CCGCCGCCGCGGGGGCTGCGCCCGCCCGCCCTGGGGAGACCCCGGCCAGGGCCCCGGAGCGTGCGGCTTCAGGCGGGGCAGCTGCCGTCCCAGGCGGGGCGCCCATCACCCCAAAAGCCCGGGGAGGAGGAGGAGGAGGAGGGGGTTAGGGGTTTACGAAGGGTCCCCGAGCCCCCCTCCTCGCCCGCCTTCTCGGGCGGGGGTTGTTGTGAGAGCCGCCCGTGTGAACCGGGCCCCGCACCACCTGCGCCCGGCGTGGGAAGGCGGCCGCAGCCTTGACATGCGGGGGCTCCCTCCGAAAAAACACCGGCCCCCGGGGCGGCCCGCCGCCCCCCGCCGGGCCTCGACCTTGAGGGCTGGGAAGAAGCCGCCGGAGCACAACAAGGAGGGTAAAATCAGCGGCGGAGGGAGGAAAACAGCCCAGCGGAGAGGATAAGGCACCTGCCGCTGCCTGGGAAAGGAGCCTCCTCCCACCCAAAGCAGGGTGGCATCGCCCAAGCCGAGGAGATGGCCCCCGGGGGCACGGGGGGCTGGCAGCTGCCTTGCTACACACACTGGGGGAAGCTGCCAGGGTGCTGCCCCTTCCACGGCTGTTGGCTTGCCACTCGGCTGTGTGGGGTGGCAGGGGTGTCTGTCCACCCCCAAGACCTATCTGTGCTTCAAGCATATCTGTTGTCCATGGGTGCTCAGCGTTGGTCCTCTCTGGCCTCCCCATGAAACCTCCCCACACGTAATCCGGGCAGTTACTGCTGTGGATACACACTTGCTGGCACCACTGTCTGTCTGTGGGGTGTCCAGGCACATTCGACAGGTCTTTGGTTTGGAAAGGAAAACTCTGGGATGATCTCCTGCGTGCCATGGAAGAGACTGGGGACCAGCTACAGGGCCGGCATAGGAAGGGATCTGGCACAGCCAAGTCAGTTGGGAGCTCAGGAAAATAGGGATCATCAGGTAGATGGAGAGACCATGGTGTTGCACAGCTCTGGGTCAGCTGGCCCAGCACGCTGGCACAAGAGAGATGCCCCAAGCCCATGACATGGCCAGAGAGTCCATTTGTCCCAGGATGTGGTGCTCCATGAGCACTAGGTACCCTCAGGTACCTAGGTACCCTCCATCAACAGCATCACAGCACAGCCCTAACACACACCCCTACCGGTGCTGCAGCCCAGCAGGCAGATTTACCCAGCTGTCTGCTCCCTGGACAACGTCCCAGCATCCCTGGGCAACTAGTTTCCCTGGGCATCCTCCAGGGAACAGGGGTGTGCGGGTCCCAGGGATGATGATCATCCCTGGGGCAGAGACAACAGGCAAAGGGGGTCAGGGGAGGAAGTGGAAAGGACAGAGGGGTGCACATCAGAGCATTATCCAGGCACACCCAGACCATGCAAAAATCCCTGATGCCCTCATCACCCATACAGACCAGGGCTGAGAGCTGTGGTAGGTCCCTGGAGATCTGCCTGATCTCCAGGGGTTGTCTCAGTTGTATGCTGCCACCCCCAGCATACTCTTTTCTCCTCAGGACAACCAACATTGCCTCCACCTGGGCACCGAGTCTGTACCACTGTGAGAGCCAACCCAAGGAAAGGGACAGAGAGGCTGCCCCCACGAGCAATACCTCCGTGATCTAAAGGAGCAGGACAACGCTTCGGGCAGGCCCCAGCAGGGACCCTCCTGCCTCCATGGGGTGCCCAGCATGTATGGTCCTCTTCCTGCTGTCCATATCTGTTCCTCAGCCTGGGAAGGGATGACAGCCTGCCCAAGTGGATGTACAAGCCTCTAGTAGTTGTCTGGGCTGGGGGTTGCAATGTGCAACACTCCTGGGAGATTAATGGGCTCTCTTTGCTCACCTGTCCTTGCATTCAATTTAATTCCATCATGGTCTTCGCCTTCCCCTGACATCAGGCTCCCCCATGGTGTAACCTCACCACCGAAGCAGTAACTCCTCACAGCAGCTGGCTGGGAAGGGCGGGTGGTAGCAGAGGGACTGTGGACAAGGGTCCAGAGGTTAGTGGGTACAGTAGAAATCTCTGGTGCACTCAAGCATTAGCTTGGGCAGGACTGATGGAAAGGACACCTGGCATGGCCAGATTCTTAAAATGTGTGAGGTCTTTTTTAAAAGCATTATTTTAAGTCAAAGTATTTTAAATATATGTGTATAGAAAAGAACATACAGGTATATGTATGCACAGAGTGTGGCCCACTGTACACAATTATATATAAACACATACAGTGGCTTGTGCTCTATGAGGTACTGGGTTGGGTTTTTTTTCCCCAACTTCTGGTGAGATTTGCTGTATGTTTTCAGGTTTGTCTTTTTTTTTTTTTTTTTTTTTTACAATTCAGTCAGTTCAGAAGTTTCATTTTCTCACTGACATTTAGATTCTCCCTTCTCTGCCTCCAAAAGCTAAGGGGAGGGCTTGAAGATAGCAAGATAGCAGAAGGCTCCCACTGATATGATAAGAAGGAGCAAATCTGCACGCATTTGAACAGCAGCATGCAAAATGCTATACAAAAGTCCAGCAGCATGCCCCAATAAGTGCAAAATAACTTTTTCACCTTTAACTGTTCCTAGTACAGCAGACTATTTTTTCAAATATCCAAAGGCAGTTTCACACTAAATAGTGTGATCAATTTTATAATGTTCACAAAAATTACATGTATCCTTTCTGCTGTATGATTGTCCAGATTCTCTTCTCATTATTGGTGTAAGAAGTTTGAAACTATTCCTGTTCCTTTTTAGTAACTTTTAAGCACTCTTTTCCTAAAGATGAGGAATGTCATGCTTGTAAAAAAAAAAAAGAAAAAAGAAAAAAAAAATTTCCTGTTCCTTTCTAGTAACTTTTAAGCACTCTGTTCCTAAAGATGAGGAATGTCATGCTTGTTAAAATAAAAATAAAAATAATTTAGTGGAACACTATGCCTCACATCAGTTATTAAGCTACTGCAACCTTGCTCCCCATAAAGAAAATACAGTTCTACGTGGGACACCATGCCTCACATCAGTTGTTAAGCTACTGCACTTGCTCCCCATAAAGAAAATACAGTTCTACTTGACTCTGTGCTGTGTGTCAATGCTCAAAATTAAACTGCCTGCAATCTGTTGTCTAAAATTTATTCCAGCAGAAAAACCGGATTTGATGAAACATCTATTTCGTCCTAGGAAAACATCTTATTCAATGCTTAAGTTACTAAAATAACATTTCAGAGTATTCAAACTATTTTAATAAAGGTTGTTTTTTTTTTACATTTCAGTTTCAAAAACTGAAGCTTTTCCCAGACGACAAAAATCCCTTTTTCAATCCTGAACAAACAGGCTGAATACCTTGTGCCCAAGAACTACAACTTCTACTTCAGGGTCTGGCCCACAGCAACTCAAAGCATTGGCCGCACTGATCACAACGCCCCTGTGAGACTTTCAGAGCGGTGCCCCAGTGCTGGAGGACTCCCCTGACATCCCAGGTAACCCCAGTAACTCCAGCCTGGGACAGCCTTGCAAAGTGGGTGACAGATGCTTTGCCAGAGGGATAGGAAATGACTGGAGACATTGTCCTTCATTTCTCATTCTTCTACCTTGCTCTCTTCCAAACTTTATCCTTTTGCCCAGCACATGTGCCCAGTCCCAGCCTCAAAGCCAAGAGCCTTAGCGTAGCCAGCCTGGGACAGCCTTGCAAAGTGGGTGACAGATGCTTTGCCAGAGGGATAGGAAATGACTGGAGACATTGTCCTTCATTTCTCATTCTTCTACCTTGCTCTCTTCCAATCTTTATCCTTTTGCCCAGCCTCAAAGCCAAGAGCCTTAGCGTAGGCAGGAGGAACACCAACGCTGAGACGTGGCCAAATCCTCCCACAGGCCAAACAGCCCTGGAAAAATAAGTTTACAAATCTAAGGCACTGCTCGGGACAACTAGGAAATATTAGCACCTGCTGTGAGGCAGCCTGGCAAGAAACTTAAACAACATCCTTTACCGTAGCATTCTTTCCATTAATTAACAGAGTTGATTTGGAAAGGAACAACATTCAGACCATCTGGAGGACTCATTTTATGAATGCACTAAGGAAACAATTTTTCGTTCTCAGCAATGCAGCAAGAGCTACTCTCATCACCCTAGAAGTAGCTGGAAACTTGCTTCTTTATCCTTTTGCCCAGCCTCAAAGCCAAGAGCCTTAGCGTAGGCAGGAGGAACACCAACGCTGAGACGTGGCCAAATCCTCCCACAGGCCAAACAGCCCTGGAAAAATAAGTTTACAAATCTAAGGCACTGCTCGGGACAACTAGGAAATATTAGCACCTGCTGTGAGGCAGCCTGGCAAGAAACTTAAACAACATCCTTTACCGTAGCATTCTTTCCATTAATTAACAGAGTTGATTTGGAAAGGAACAACATTCAGACCATCTGGAGGACTCATTTTATGAATGCACTAAGGAAACAATTTTTCGTTCTCAGCAATGCAGCAAGAGCTACTCTCATCACCCTAGAAGTAGCTGGAAACTTGATGTGTTTTCCCTCGTGCCATTTGTTTCAGAACAGAAATGGAGAAGACGATCTTTTTAAGAAGCAAGTGAATTATTAGGATAAGGAAATTGAGCCAATTTCAACCTGTGTTTGCCCTCATGCCATTTGTTTCAGAACAGAAATGGAGAGGATGATCTTTTTAAGAAGCAAGTGAATGATTAGGATAAGGAAATTGAGCCAATTTCAACCTCTTTCACTGATTCTAGAAAATAAACCCAGAAGGTACTGTTTGGTGCCCAAAAGGGACTAAGAAAGTCTGCTTATTTTCTAAGAAGTCTAGGCTTGTGATTGCAATCTCCACCACAGGCCGGGGAGAATTATCTGTCGGACCTTGGGAAGATGGAGAAGGAAATCAGGACCTCCACTTACAGATGCCACAGTCCCCTCACCATCTCCCACCTGGGCTTCACCCATCAGGATCTGCCCGTGATCCCTCTCCATGCAGCCACTGGGGAGCAGCAGAAGGCTGCAGGAAGGCCCTGCTTGTCGTCCTGCTCTTACCAGGCTCTGAATTATCTGTGAGACCTGAGGAGAACACAGAACGAAATCAGGACCTCCACTTTCAGATGCCACTGCCCACACCCAGCCCTGTTGCACATCCCACCTTCCAGCCTCACCGGCTGCCACCAAACCCTGCTCAAAGCTTCCCTGCACCCTTGGGGAGGAGGCAGGACAAGGTGATACAGACTGCTAGGAATCCAAGGCCAGGTTTAGTCCAGGACAGGAGGATGGGTGGGATGTCTCCTGGCCCTGGTAGCTCTGACCTGGCTCTGGGGCTCTGATCCTTCCACCTTGGAAACAGGAAGGAAAATCACTGTCAGCCAACACTGACAGAGCAGGAGTATTTCCCAAGAGTCACAGGCAAGCTGGTCTCTCTGGGGCATAGCTGTGCTAGTAGAACATAAGGGGGCTCCCACTTGGTGACACACACACTTGTGTGTATATATACACAGGCATACATAGACAGATACATATATAGGTTCACACACACCTATATGGGTGTTGAAGGATTGTTTCCAGTCCTTTGATACCCTGCTCCACTAAGGTGTCTCCTGCCAGGCAGGTCCATAGGGTCCTTTTATCCTGGACATGATCTTTAAAGCAATGTGAAGTGCTGCTGTCCCCCCTTGCTGTAGGTCATGGCCAAGAGCGTGGACAAAGATGGGCAACACACCCACGAGCAGCTGAGTGTCCCTTGCTCATATGGATGAGATTGCCTACAAAGATTAAGCAACGCAGTGGCTGGATAAAGGGCAGTGTTGACTGCTGCTTATAATGACCGCGGATTGAATTCATCATTATGGATGTCTTGTTGGCTCTCATGGGCAGTGGCTGAGCCTTCATGGTCTCCTTTGGCCTCATCTCTGTGCCCCACCTTGCTTTCTGGCACAGTTCCTCTACTCTTCACAGCAGCCATGCTGTCACATACATTTCTCGCTCACCTGCTTTCAGCCAAGCTTCCACCTCACATCAACATGTGTCTACCCTTCATGTCCAGGACCAGGCAGGTCCAGTTTGGACCAGGAAAACTGGAGGCTCCTTACCCCAGAATAACCAGCTGGCCACACCTTGCTATTCCCCAGACAGAAGTAACACTCTTTGGAAAAAGGAAAAAAAAAAAAAATAGCAAAGGACTCGCTTTCTATTCCGTTTTTCCATCCTCTGCTTAATAGCTCTAAGCTCCCCTTGCCTTGTCTCTGGTTCTGCATTCAACACATTGAGTAAACACCCTGGCAAAGATGCAGCCTCACTCTGTGCCTTGGCTGAGCTCATTGTCTAACAGAGGAAAAACCCAAATTGTGACAAAAGGTCCTACTCTTCCAGAAACAGTGAGCCCAGTATTACTCCAGCATCACAGGTACCTGCTAGCATCACATCACTGTTTTTAGCTGCTTAATAAGGCATGCCAAGAAGAAGAAATGTCTTTATCATTTCTTCTCTAGGTGCATGTAACTTCACAAGAAAACATCTGATTCATCACTGCTTGGAAAATCAGCCAGGCATTAACATGCCCCCTAGAACAGCCCCTACCCACCCAACTTTGATAGCCAAACTCTTCTTAAAAAAACCCAATCCTTTCTGTCTTCAAACAGTCTGCAGATTTTTTCTCCTTCTCTATGTACTGAGGGCTGCATCTGCTGCTAGGCTCAGCCAGAGCAGGGACCAGCTCATACACGTGATAGCTTCTCATCCAGCTCAGCCACACATGTTCCCTCCACAAACACTCAGTTGGGTACACTCAGTCCTCACTGCCAGCAGCACAGTTGGTGTCCTGGACCAGGATGTTCTCCTTGACTCAGGATACTGCCATGGACTCACTGATGCCTGCCCTGGTTGTCTGCTCTCAGTGTTTGCATTAAAACCTTGCTCACTTCGATTTCTCCAGACCTGGGGCGACAGTGCAGCCCACTGCCATGCAAAGCACACGGTGAAGGCACCCATGCAGCAAGCAACCTCATCCTCTGCCAATGCTTCCAGGGCCACTTCTTTAGTGACTCCAAGCAGTACCAGGAGCTGCAAGGAGACAAAGGAGGCTATAAAACAGGCCAATCTGCCCTCCTCTCAGACTATCACAGCAGATCTTATTTATTGCCAGGGAGCAATAAAGCATTATAACTCTGGGACAGCCTGTGCTCCACACATAACCTCCCTTTCTTGTTCCCCAAGGAACTTTCAACAAAATTAAGGGGAAAAAAAGCCACAAAGAAAAAGAAATTATCTTTAAGAAGGAGAGGAGACTGGGAAAATGTGCGGTTCTCCCCGAAACCTCACCCAAGTTCCAGTGATCAGCATTTCTTGAGCCAGACAAGGTGTCTCCATCTAATAGCCCTTGATGGCTTATTTCTTCAAGGTATCTCTTTTTGAACTCTTGCAAACCTCAACATCCCACAGCAGGGACTTCCTCCTCTCAGCTCTGCACTGTGGGAAGAAACCAGCTCTGCTTGCTTCCTTGTAACAGGACACCTAAGAGCTTCACCTGGTGAAAGACAGTTCCTCTTTGTTCACAGCTGTACCTCATCTCTCCTCTCAAGGCTGAATAACCCGACCTTGTTCAAGGATGAGAAACCTTTCCAGATCTTTAAAAATCCTTTGCTCTTTCCTTTGTCACTGGGGAAACCATGGTTGTGCAGAGCATCTGAGACGTAGCTGCAGATGCACTGCTGCAGATGGTATTGCCACTTTGTTCCTTTCCTGGCCGTTCCTAAGGTCTGTCTCAGACATGGTAGTGGTTAATCCATTCCTTGGTGTTCTGTGAGCTGCAGCTAGCAGCCAGGCATCCGTGCTGCTGGTGCATACCTGCACAGCTTCCTTTTGACAGTGTGCTCTGCTGGGACATGGTGTGGCCAACCCTCACCCTTCAGCCAGAAGGGGGGCTTCTCACCTTGCACCATCAGCTTGGATTTGAGCACAAACCCAGTGCAAATCCCAAATGTAGGGTTTCATGTGCAGGTGTCCTCACGGGGCACTCCTTGCATCTCTGCCTCTACCATGCAGTGAGTTGCCATATATATCCAGGATAATCCTTCTCCTCCAAAAGCTCTTCAGGGGCAGCCAAGAGCATGCTGTGTTAACCAGTCAAGTTACCTCAACCTGGCCCACAAAAAGAGATATGACAAGACCAGGTTAGCACTGATTATGAAAGCTCTTCCACTGCCTTACAGGAAGCTGCTCTTCAGCATCAGCACTTGTACTTACTGTAGCAGACGGTACAGTTCCCTCCAGGGGAGAGAGTGGCCAATGCTGGAGACCCAGACTGCTTTAAAATAAAAGTACCCACGGTTTTGTTCATCACAGCCCGTTCACATCTTCCTTCTTGATTGTCAGTGCTGGAAAAAATATCAGCTGCATGGGAAATGTGCCTTGCTGCCTGCTTCTCATACTACAAGAGTACAGAGGACACGGAACTCCAGGAATTGTATGCTGACATCAGGCTGTCTGCAGATCTTGAGGATATTAGGCTAGGAGGCCCAACAGTTGGGATCATACTGGCTGGACTTGGTATAAATCTATTCACTTCTCAAGAACATGTTTTGCTGGGGGACTTTTGTCACCTTCCTCTCTCCTGCAAGGTCTCCAGACCTAGAATTAAGAGAGAAAAGCAGTGAGATAGGGTCAGCCCCTTGCAGTCTGGCATCACCACGCAGCCCCTGCTGCCGAAATCAATCACCAGCAGCTGTCCCTCCTACTAGCAGATACCAGGAAGGTGGGCAACTGGAGCATCAGCCCAGGCAACTATGGCTGTTTGTGTTTGCAGGGCCCACATCTTGCGATGGGCTTTGGTATGCGCTGTATTTAGTCTTCCCTGTTGAGTATCTGTTTGCCTGGAGCCTGCAATGGGCAGAGAGATCTCATTACTCAAGCAGAGGGGAAGAGCACCGTGGGAAGATTCGACGGGAGCAAGAGACACAGGCAGGGTTGGTATTCCCCCTTGGAATGATGCTGCCTGAATCCTACCGGTTGCAGAAGTCTCATCCAGGACGAGGCTTTTGGCTTTACTTCATGATTGACGGCAGCTCTGCCCTCTGCCAGACCGAAATGCAGGGCACACTGCTTTGCTCTGCCCTTAGCCCCACGCAAGACAGTGCTGCTGCAGAACTGCCCGAAGGCAGGCACCCGGGGAGCTGGGGCTGCGCCCAGAGCACCGTGCTTAATCCCACGAATACCAGTCCCCACAAAAATAGAAACAACCGCCTTCTCACGGAGCAGCTCGCTGTATCAAGTTTCTAGCGCTCACAGCAACCAAGATAAATTAGTATTATCTTTGTGTCTGGTAGATTAAATGCTTTCTTTCCCGTACTGTTAAATAAATGAGGGATTTTTTTTAAATTATTTTTTTATTTTGGGGATGCAGAGGGTTTGAAGTATCATCTTACCTGTATGACACATTGTGCCCACTCAAGTTTTTGCACTGATGACAAGGAAAGCGTGCCTGGAGCCAAAAACGGAGCGTGTTTGCCATACATAGCAAAGTGTGTTGGCAGAGGAAGGCTGGTTCAACTAATCAAGCAGCCTGCATTATTTAAAACAATCCTAAACCTCCAGCGGGCCCTGCAGTTAGCACATCATCTCTGGAGCTCAGCATCTGGGACGATGCTGCTGTGGCAAACTCGCAGGGATGAGACTGGAAAACAAGCGGAGGGTAGAGCCCCGTAGCCACGGCTCTGACATGGCCTCCATTTTCATATAAGAAGTATTCAAATGGGCTTGCCAAGACGGCTTCGGAGGCTCGTCTCCCATCTCAGGGCAGTGTTTCCATTTCCAAGATGTGTTCTTTCTTTCATTTTAATGCCAGAATTTTAATCAACTTCGAATGAATAAATGTGAAAGATTTGCCTACACGCTCACTGCTGTTCACTGTAACTTTAGCTTGTCTCAGGTGGCTTTTGGTAAGATGCCCCACCAGCCCTCCCTGGAAAACCTGAGGGAAAAATTTTAAATCT